TCTGGCGAGCGCACGCACCCTATAGCGAAAACCTCTCTCAAAAAAAAAAGATGAAATAGATAGACAGACAGAGAGAGACAGAGAGACAGAAAGTGAGAAATCACCCCCCAGGGGGATGGGCACGCTGCAATCCCTTCTTCTCCATTCTCCTCTCGGGATCTTGGGCACGCACGCACATGTGCCTGGTGTGAGTTTTAAGCCGCCGGGTCCGGGACGCGAACCATGGTCGACTATGTGAGAGTCCAGTGACATAGCCATTACACTAACTGCTGGTCCCAAAGATGAAATAGATTCTAAGAATGTGGAGAAATTTTTGTTTGTTTTACATTCTGTTTGATTTTTGTGTTCAGCAACAGGTAGTAGGTAGTGTTGTAATTCCTATTTTAGAGAAGAAGGAACTGATTCGGATAATTTTGGAACTTTTCTAGACTCGCCTAGCTAACAAATGGAAGAACTAGAATTTAAACCCATACATGTCTGACAGGAGGGGCTAATGTCAATGCTATATGTTATACTATGTCATATGTTCCCTCTATAGATGCAGTTCTAGATATAATACAGCATTTCGAGATTTAAAAAATCTTTGTGGTTTTTAAAAAATTATTTTAGTACAGTTTCGATTACATTTCTAGTTTTCTTAACTTTTTTTGCCACATATTTTCTTTTTCCATTCAGAAACTTCTTCAGCATCCAGAATTGAGTAATAGTCAACTCCTGGCAGACTTTCTTTCTCCTAATGGTGGGGAAACACAGTTTCTTGATAAGATACTGCCAGATGTAAATCTTGGTAAGTAATTCAAAGAATCATATACTAAGAAAATAAATAAAACAATCAGCATTTTGAGATTAATTTTAAAAAACAGTTTATGTAGTTTAGCCATGTGGTGAATTCCAAAGGGTCTTATTTCTGTCTTTAGAGATAGGTGTCAGGTAACAGGTTCAATCTGTCTATTCTGTGCATCCTTGTTGGACCTGCCGATGGCGAACAGTTCCTGAGTTGGGGGGTGAAGATTAAAGAAAGACAAGAAGACAGGATAGAAACGGGAGGACTGCCAGTAAATGCTGGTCAGCCCTGAATGTACTTTATTGCTAGTATTTATACACACTCCAGAGACTTCTGTGATGTAAGGTTTTAAGTCCTTACTGAATTCTTCAGGTTATTATAACAATACTTTGGAACATTCAGTTCAAAACAATCCCAAGACGTTCTGCTCATAACAATCTAGCCACCCAAGGCCATGTCCGGATAAAGACCCTGGTCTTATTCTGGTGGTCATGTCCTGCACATTCCTCATGTCTCCTTTTTGGCTCTCCACACATCCGGGTTATTTAAGCAGCACTTCTAAGCCACCTGTCTATCACAGAAAAATATCTTCGCTGATGTATTTTTACTTTATTTTCTAAATTTAAAGAATATAACAAATGCGGGACCAGCAGTTGGCGTAATGGCTATATTGCTGAACTCCCATGTAGTCGACGATGGTTCAAGTCCTAGACCCGGTGGCTTAAACTCACGCTGGGCTCATGTACGCACTTGCCCAGGATCCCAAGAGGAGAATGGGGAAGAAGGGATTGCGGTGTAGCCATCTCCCCTAGGGGGGTGATTTCTCACTTTCTGTCTCTCTGTCTCTGTCTTTCTGGTGAGTGCACGTGACCTATAGCATAAAAATCTCTCTGAAATAAAAAAGAATTTATAACAAATATAGATGATATTTTCAGTACATATAAATATGCTTTCCATATAGTAAGTGTGTGAATAGGTACAGTGCTTGAAATTTCTTTAGATATTTCTTTCAAAATCTTTTTAAAAAAGACCAGATCTGTTAACATTTGACTTAAAACTCAGCTCCTTTTTCTGCATCTTTTAAGTCATAGCATGTTCTTCTTCATTTTGTATTTTAAAACATTTTAAGTATTCCTACATGCCTAATTTGGGGGTGGGTAGCTCATAGTAGTAACGCAGATAAGTAAACTTTATATAAATTGGTTTTTAGTTCACTTGAATTAATCTTAATGACATTCTGAGTTAATTTCATTCCGTGGTACTTATGTACATGAATTTTATTTAAAGTTTAACTAATTGTTGTCTACATCACTTTGGCATGGATTATACATAGAAGATAGTCTATGAGGAAGCATTTCTATTTTCAAAGTGATTTTTTAAATACATATATATAACATATATAAATATATATATAACATATATATAATATACACACACATATACAACATATATTTAATTTTCTATAGGACGCATGCACTTGTAGGAGAGAGACAGAAGAGAGAGGGAAGCTAAGAAAGCACCTTGGGTGGGGGGATGGAGATAGCCATACTGCACTTCCTTCTCCATTATCCCCATGGGAATTTGGGGATGTATACATACATGCCTGGCATGTTTTTCAAGCTTCTGGGTCCAGGTGTCAGTGGGGTTGGCCATATGAGATATCTGAATCATTACATCATTGGCTGGCTCATGTTTTTTTGTAATTGTTAATACAGAAATAAGGCCAGCTGTTGGTGTGGTGATGAAGGTGACAGAGTCCTACATGGCCAACTTTTGTAATTAGATCTCAGACCCAAGGACCTGAGAAATATTTCGGGCACATGTGTAAGGGGGCCCAGAATGTTGAAGAGAGGATGAAGAAGAAGGAATTGTGGCATGGCCATTACACTTGGGGGGTAATAGCTCACTTTCCATCTCTCTTTTTTTTTTTTTTTTCTTCAGGTTTGTGCTATAGGTTGTATGCGTACACCAGAGGAGAGAGACAGAGAGAGACAGTGAGAGGGAAATTGAGAAATAACGCCTTAGGAGAGATGGCTAAGCCACAGTCCCTTCTCATCCATTCTTCTCTCAGGATTTTGGGCACATATGCACACACGCCTGGTGTGATTTTTAAGAGGGCAGGTCCGGGACTCAGGTTTTGAACTGTGGTCATCTATGTGGGAGTCCAGCACCTTAACCACCATGCCACCTGCTGGCCCTTCTCTCTCTCTCTCTCTCTCTTTCTCTCTTTCTGTCTTTCTCTCTTTTTGGCTACCACATGTGCCCTATAACGAAAAGAAAAATATAATAAAATTTAGGTAAATAAAACCTTGATCTTTAGTTTCAAAGTAACTGTAATTTTTGTAGTCTTTGGTTGCCTTATTTCCACTAGCACTATTTTAAAGGAAATTGAAGGTGTATTACAAGCATTTTATTTTAATTTTAATTTTTTATTTTTTTAGAGAGGTTTTGCTATAGGGCACATATGCTCACCAGAGAGTGACAGAGGAGAGATGGAAAGCAAGAAATCACCACTTTGGGGGGATGGCCACGCTGCAATCCCTTTTCCTCCGTTCTCCTCTCAGGGTCTTGAGCATGCACGCACATGCGCCCAGCACTAGTTTTTTTTTGGGGGGGGGATTTTTTTTTTTTACGCGTGTGCTCGTCAGACAGAGAGAGACAGAGAGACAGGAAGTGAGAAATCACTCCCCAGGTGGTATGGCCACAATCCCTTCTCCTCCATTCTCCTCTTGGGATCTTGGGCATGCACGCACACACGCCCGGCGTGAGTTTAAGCCACCAGGTCTGGGACGCGAACCACGGTGGACTATGTGGGAATCCAGCGACATAGCCATTATGCTACCTGCTGGTCCCGTCAGCACTGGTTTTAAGCCACCGGGTTCAGGACTTGAACCATGGTCAACTACATGAGAGTCCAGTGAAGTCACCATTGCATCATCTGCTGGTCCCCAAAATATTAAAAATATTTTTAAAATATTTTTTATTAATGAATTTTTATTGTGGCAGATGGAAAATTCATTGCCAAAGCACAGTCTGCTACTATTTAAGACATTTTATTGTAATTATAATTTATTATAATTATTATTAGACATGGAAATTAGTATTTTCTGAAGATAATTTAGAAAATGTGTTTTGTGTTATAAATACATGAGCATCTAATTCTAGCTATCACATTTGATTGAATTTTTTTGTAGTTTGTCTAAATAGCAACAAGGTAAACAAGCCTTATTGTCTTCTGAAACCATTAATGTATCACATACATTTAATTTATTATGAATGTACACCTAAAATGGAAATATAAAAAAAAGGATTCAATTAAGTAAATAGTAGTTGTAAAATTTTCTAGTGAATTATCTCACAAACCCCCTGGGGTGTGTGCATTCTGCATCAGAGACCACTGAGTTAAAGTACAGCATTTTAATCCCTATCCCCACTTGCTGATCAGTGATCTTGTTGACGCCAAAGGCTAAGACATTTTCTCACTCCTCGCCCTTCTAGGCTTCCTCAGCGGCGTTCTTTCTTTTGGAAATTCTTCTCTGCCATTCATTAAAGTATACTGCTCTCTTAATTGACTCACTCCTCTTTCTTTTTTTTTTTTTTTCTTTTATTTTTTACTTTTTTTTTTCATTTAATTGTCTTCCATACATTCAATCACATTAGTATTTGTCTTACAAAATGGATATTTCAACAGGTGAACATTTCTCCCTAGTACTGTTGATAAAACTACAAAACATCTTCAATAGATAATACCACACCTCTTTGTGCCATTAATGCTATGCCTCCCTGTCCCTCCCCAAAATGTCCTTCCTCAGACCCTCGTCTTTCACACACACTATATCTGGTATTTATATCTATATACTGTGTTTCTGTATCCTTTAGTCAATTAGTTTCAGTCATAGAGTGCAGACACTCGGTATATATTAAGTGGGGACGTATAATGCCTCTCCTTCATAGCATGGCTTGCTTCACTCAGCAGTAAGTCCATATTCATCCACTTGCTGTCAAAAGCCAGGGTTTTGTTGTTTTTTATGGATGAATAGTATTCCATAGAGTATATGTGCCACAGTTTTTCTAACCATTCATCAGTTCGTGGGCATTTGGGTTGTTTCCATGACTTAACAATTGTGAATAGTGCCACAGTAAACATCGATGTGCAAGCACTTTTCCAATGAAGAATTCTTCTGTCCTTTGGGTAGATACCAAGGAGTGGGATTGCTGGATCATATGGTAGTTCTATTTGTAGATTTTCGAGGAATCTCCAAATTGTTCTCCACAGTGGTTGGACCAATTT